GGCGAACCCTTGAGCTTCACCCCAGTTTACTTTGGATGCAGTGAATCGCGTTAGGATACGTTGTGATTTCTCGAGGATACATAATTCAAAGTGCTGCCCAAGTCCTCAAGGCGCAGAATTTCGGGATCCGCCCCAGGTGGAATTTCCTACTAGTGCCGTAAGGTCATTTGTCGAAGGAGCGCTGCGTTTCGGAGAGATATTTGCCCCAAGAAGAGCTGGTGAAATAATACTTTGAACCATCGCGGTTTACCGTCGGATAGTGATCATAAAAGTTTGTGTTCTGCTGTACCGCTAACTCAAAAATCTGTATTCCGCAGGCGGTCAAAGCTAATAAACTGATAAAATAAAATTAAATACACGTGCTGTGTAGAAACTTTGGCAACTAGCCGTCTCCCACTCGCCACGCGAAGGATTTCCTGGACTAAGTTTCCGTTCAAACACTAAACTTTGCTTTCGTTCCGAGGAAGGATAGGCACCGTGGATTTTTGTTTCCGTGTGTTAAATTCAAGCCAACCCCTAGGAAGTCACAGAGACTAAGTGTCAGATCACATCCACCCTGTACCAGAGGAAAGAGCAGTTCACAAGATCGGCTGTACAAATGTTGTAAAGGTTAGTCTAAATTAAATTTGTAATATTCTGTAAAATTCCACTTTTTGGTAATTAAGCTATAGTAAAAAAATTTTTGATTTGATTGTTTATAAAAGTCCAATGAACGATTACCAAAGAGTAGAATAAATTTTTGTGTTTATTTAAATAAGTCCCAGCCCACGCTGGATTAAAAAACCGATTACCTGTTGTTGCAATTTTTCAAACTGTAGAGGATGGCCACCCCTTGAGTAAATTAGTTTCACCTGATAGGATTTTTTATTTAGTTTAGTTGTCATTGTTAAGCTAGTGTTTTTACAAGGAGAAGAGAAGAACTGCTAGATCCCTGTAAATTGTTTGTATCGCTAATCTCATTTCAATATATTATCTATTTGGTGTCAATGTGCCTATGTCTTTAACGAAGAACGAGGGGAAGGAAAGGGAGGAGTAGGAGTTGAGGCAGGAGACTGGTAGGCGGCAGGTCAAGGTTTGTTACGCAGTTTCAAGAGTAAAAAGCCCACCGATTTGAGTTAGCCGGAGCATTTATTTTTATCGATTGAGCAGCCTGAGAAGAAGACGGTTTGCCTTGCCGGGCGGAACCGATGGTAATTTTCAAGTCCAGAAGGAACCCCCGTAGCAACCACGGGCATAAACTGATGTTTATACTCTCGGGCGACTAACTAACTAACTCGTCGACCTCGAGAATATAAGCATCACTATTATGCCCTTAATACATAAATAACTATAATGTACAGCAACTAAATTTCCGGGCTTTCACAATCTTAATAATTACGATCATTATTAAACAAACTTTTCACAATTTCAGTGTTTTATTTAACGTTCCTTCCCTACTGTGCTTCAGGTCATAGCGTTGTTTGCAACTAACGTAACGTTTGTAACTACCTTAGATGTTTAATCACGTGCCACTTTTCAAATTTAAGCGGGATCTTGTTTAGTTTTGGAGGGAATAGTCATTCGGGTGGCCATTTTTAAACATTGCCGGGTTGACTTTTATTTCCGTGTTCTTGTAGTGTGAAATTTGCGTAGAACCTGGGGGTTAAGTACACTACAAGGTGATATTAAAATTGTCCTGAAACAGTAACTGTCAGCTTACGCGTTTTTTTTTAATTTTTGCTCTGTTTGGACTCAAGTTATTATTTTGTTTATTACTAAATCAATAACAGAAAAAAACTTACTGCTTCTAAAAAAATTGATATTTTCGTCGTAAATGAGGTGGACAGAGTGATAGAAACTTGATCGTAGAATAAAGCAATATTGTTAGGTATTGTTAATGAAGTTCGAACTTCACAGTACTACGACGTTAAATCTTTTCATTTAGCATGGATTAATTCAATTTGATACATAATAATTTACACATAGCTTTTATAATTCACGAAACTTTCGTGTGGCATTGCCTTGAAATAAATGCATCTTTCATCAAGGATATATACAGCCACTGGGCGCATAATTCAAGGACATGTCAATTAAAATGTAGGCTGCCGCATTAATTATGCGAGCGGCTTACGTAAATTATACCAAATTTAGCTGAAAGGGTGAATTATTTTCTTTTGCTTGCGTTTTTTGTATTTTTCTTTAGATTTTAATTTTATCATTTCATATATTTCAGATAAATTTGCAAAGTGATTCTTCATAACTAGAGTGAGAGACAAATACTAGAGTATCGCCCTCTCTCACTTTCTGCGCCTGACTTAGAAATAAGTACAACAGTATACGAGCAAGGCCCTTCCCGTTGCTTTGCATAGAGTTCACTGTACATAACCAACCCTAGCTTGTACGCAAATAGCGCTAAATAATCTACGCACGCTTTTGGCACTAATTCGTGAATTCCTTATAACGATATCCACCAACCGCACCAGTACCTACCAATTAACAACAAGCGCTATTGAATGATGCGAGTCTGTAGCAATAAAGAATATTTCCTACTTTAAAAAATGTGACAGCCGACCGATAATGAAGAAACAGTGACCAAAAAGTCGCTCTGTTTATATTGTATAATTAATACGTAAACGTATCTGTGCAACTTGGAAATGCGAACCAACAAATTAAGGTATCCTCTCTTTGAAGAAAGAAATCGACGAAACCCGATGTGATAGGGAGAAGGTATAACAGTTGCCTATGCTACAGATGATCATTACTTTTGTCAATGAGAGTACATACTGTAGTTCTGAACATTGTTAAAAATTACCGCGACTACAGCTTAAGATTCCTTCAAGGAGTTGAACAAACAACTTCGATCAATCATTAATTGCACGTCTGAGGGTCGTAGAAATTCGGGCTATAATAACACTATTTAATGAAATGTCATCTGGGTCTCACATTAGGCGATGGAATGATGAAAAATCGCGCATTCCACCATAAACCTATTAAAGAACCCAAATTGGAAAGGTAATCTAAAATTTTATAATTACCACCGAAATTTTAATCCCAACGTATGTTAACAAAGTTTCGCTCTTTTTACGTTACGGACGTAATTGTCCTTTGCAAAAATGAAACTCCTTTGGGTTTCGATTATACACGAAAGCTCATATGAAACTTTAATCAAAAAAGTAATCCGTAGCATGAAACGCGGCAGCAATTTTACTTTGAGGTATTAAAGTAATTAAGCGCAGAAGTAAATTTTTTTTATAATACTTTTCTACGAAAATTGGGTTAGTTATGCAAATCGTTTTCCGCCTTATTACTACTTTAATTGAAATAACACCGCGAGTTACTCCTTTATATGCATTGTTATGGTTGTGAATCTTGCGTTTATCGCATCCCGTCTTGTTACTACGTTATATTAATTATACTAGGTTGCACTCAGGCGAATTGTTGTGCACAGTGCATTATTAATAGCGCAATAGTAAGCCAAGCACGAAATGCTAATTACGTTGCAGAAATTTAGAACGACGACCATAAGGAGAAGTATATTACGACAGAGAATCACAACGCTTTAGTGATTACGTACTAAAGTCCGTTCAGGATATGCGCCGAGGCTAACTCAATTTTGAATATGCTGAATAAATATGTTGCGCATCCCACTATACCAAATTTTCTGTTGTAAATTGTTACTTTATTTGCCGGATTTACAATTAGGCACTCATAGGCTACTAGAATACGAGATGGGCATTCAGTTGAATGGATTAACATTTGACTATAATTCGCACACCCCACATTTTAGAAGACTTTCATAATCTCTTATTCCCCTGAATCGTAGCATGACTGTCAACCGATTAAAGTAAAAGTAGAAAAATGAATTAAGGTGAGGCCAAGATATATAGACATCTTATTCCGAGGTTACCCCTACAATTTTCATAATAACATTAAGGCCGTTTCTGAGAAAACGGATTCATTTTAAATGCAAACGTAATAAAGCTATTGTTCCAGATTCGATAAATTTAAGTGGTTTTTTTCTAAATATTATGCATTATGTAAAATATGTAACTTCATTAGACTTGCAAAGAAGCTTTTAGGAAGAATATGATTTCTGTATATTTACAAAGAAAGCTGTCTGTGTATACCTTTGTATGTGACTGCATTACACATAAACAATAGACAATATTTTAAAACTGAATACGGTCGACATACTCAAATATTGTTTCGTAAGATTTTCTAGTATACAAGACTAATCTTTGGTACGTCAACAGTAGCAACAAAAATGTAGACAAAATATGGCATATACTCTGCATTTCAGTTAAAACGAGTCACCCTTAATATCCATCGATAGTGAAACTGTAAAACATGAAACACTTTCACCTTTCAGGGGATACACTACAACCACCCCTCCCCAAATAATAAAATAATAGTCGTTATTCCTTTTAACATTATAAACGTTCGAAATGGCCACCATTAAATTGCATACAGACCGACTGTGTAGCTCAGTGGTAGAACGTTGGGCTACATAGGCGGAGGTCGGGTAGGGTAGGTAAACCTGTCTGGTACAAGTGACCCTTTATCTACTTTTTTGTTTTTTTCTTTTTATTTTTTTCTATTTTTATTGTTCTTTTTTGTTCCGTTTCTATTTTATAATTTTTATTTTATTTGATTTATTATATTTCAAGTCCAGTCCTCAATATTACATAATTAAGAACACTGTAGTAAATGCTGTCTCCAGCTTTCAGCACAAGTTTTAAAGAATACACCAAAAATTCTGCGTCCGGTCCTGTCCGTATATTCCCGTTATTCATGTACCCACACCTACCGGCGCGATTTATCCTCATTATGCTTCTTGTGCTTTCAGCGTGAGTTTATTTTCGTCGACGTTATCGCGATAAGTATTTTTTTTGCGTTTTTATCTCGGCGTTACCTGTGATTCAATCAGTAAGTACCGATGAATCGGTTTGTTACCGACAATTCTTTTTATTCTTACGAGTAGACTTTCTCATCTACTTACTTGCGTGTTTGGACTTCTAACCTCAAAATTTTTCAGAGTATTTATTACAGATTATTTTAGTTATTCGAAATGGGAAAGAATAAAAAACGAGCTAGATCAAACAGCTCAGATTCTGGAGACCGTGTAAGTTCCAAGAAACTGATGAAACGCATTAAAAAACTCGAAATTGAGTTAAAAAGGCAACGTTCTCGTTCTCGGTCGAATTCCGAAGGTCGTCACCGACGATACCGGTCACGTACGCCAAAGCCTACGTCATCGACTCGTTCATCGCAAAGCCGGCAGTGTATGCCGCGTTCTTATTCTCGCTCTCCGGCCCCGAAACGTGTAGTTTCGACGAGGCTCAGGGAGAGTACGACGACTCCGAACCTTAGTCCGGACCATCAACGCAGTCCGCGTTCCTGGTCGCGATCTCCACCGCCGAAGCATGCAGCTAAAGCGGAAAGGAGTAAGGAGGCGGCAGTTTATACGGAAATATCAAACAACAATAATAAGAATGCGTGTAGCATTCCTAACCCTGTTGCCAATAACGATATGTGTAGTGTCGTTAACTCTCCCGACAGGGACGAACTACAAATTTTTTGCGATGAGGAATTGCCTACCATGTCGGAGGATATTTTTAACTCCTTAGGAGAGGATCCGAATAGGGTAGCAACTAACAGTTTTTCACTGCATGAAAAACTGGTAACCAGATGGGACGCCTTATTAACTAATGGCTTAAAGAAGGGAGATTCACAAACCCTACTTAATAATTATGAATTACCATCTAATTTAAAGAGTTTATGCCCCCCTAAACTAAATCTTGAAGTAAAGGCTGCTTTACAAAAACAAAATATTTTGACAGACTCGGCTTATGTAGAGATACAAAACCAGTTAGGAAAAGGACTTACTGCCCTGGGTAAGGGCATAAGCTTATTGTTAGACAACCTAAACAAGATACCCGAGGATACAAGGAACCCAATTTTGACTAATTTGGGTGATTCCGGACGTATTCTTACTAATTTATTCCACAGGGTTTCCATTACCAGAAGAAACCTTCTAGTCCCCTATTTAAACAAAAACCTCAAAGATCTAACAGATAATACATTAGGTTCTGAGTTTTTATTCGGATCCGACTTAAATGAGAAATTAACCTCTGCAAAGACTCTTGAGAGTATATCTAAAGAGTTAAAACTTCCGACCTCATTTAAAAGCCCTGTTAAAAAACTTACCAAATTGGGGGGGGCAAAGGGCCAACCATTACTGCGATACCAGAATCAGAAACCACATTTTCATTACCCGGCTCGTCATTCGGGGGAGACAGGGCCGCAGAAGTCTCTACAGGCCCCCAGAAGGTACAACAACAACTATGCTCCCAAGAAAAGAGACGGAGAGAGGAAGAAGAGGTATTAAACCATAGTGATTCGGTAAGTTCTAACTATGCAGGCCGCCTTCGGTTCTTTCTAAAATCCTGGTCGACTTTAACTTGTAATCCAGTCATACTAGATTGGTTACAAGGATATAGACTACCCTTTGTACAATTACCATCTCAAAAACAAGCTGTGTTTTCAAAAACCTTGTCGGCTTTGAAACAAACAGAGATGGACTTACAAATTAATTATTTATTAAAGTTAGGTGCTATAAGAAGGTGCAATCCTTGTTTTGATCAATTCATTTCGACAACTTTCCTAGCCGATAAGCCCAATGGGAAAAAACGATTTATAATCAATTAAAAAAACTTGAATCGTTTTATCGTTGCACCGCATTTTAAAATGGAAGATGCTAGAACAGCAAACAGATTAATTCAATACGGTAATTACTCTGCTACCGTAGACCTTAAAGATGCTTATTATTTACTTCCAATCCATCCGGAACACAGAAAATATCTGAGATTTTACCATAAGGACATTCTCTTTGAATTTAATTGCTTGCCGTTCGGTCTAGCATCAGCACCCTATACATTCACAAAACTAATGAAACCAGTCGTCGAACATCTTAGACAACATGGCATTTCTTGTATAAACTATCTTGATGATTTTTTAATTTTGGGTCCTAGTAAAAAAGTGTGTACAAAAAATGTTAATTTTGTCACCACCCTACTTTTTTCCTTAGGCTTTATAGTAAATAAGGAAAAAAGTTCTTTAATCCCTAGCACTTCTTGTCGATTTCTAGGGTTTATATTCGACTCTATTAACCTAACAATTGAGTTACCAGGGGAAAAAAGGCAAAAAATTATAAAACAAATAAATTTTTTTATGCGTAAAGAAAAATGTAAAATCCTACATTTTGCCCAATTTCTCGGTTTAATTAATTCAGCCTGTATGGCGGTTCCGTACGGTCGTTTGTACACAAAGTTGTTAGAAAGAGCAAAATTTTTGGCGCTTAATCATAATAAAAACAACTATAATTCTTACATGAATATTTCGCAAGAAATTAAGTTAGATTTAATTTGGTGGGCTGACCATATTGAGGATTGCAAAAATTCTCTTAAAAGACACAATTTTTCTTTAGAGATATCTACTGATGCTAGCCTCACAGGGTGGGGAGCGTACTGTAAGGGAGAGTCTACTCACGGTTGGTGGACAATCGATGAAGCTCAGGACCACATTAATATTCTCGAGCTTCAGGCCATTTTTTTCGGTTTACAATGCTTTGCAAAAGATTACAGAAGTTGTAATATTTTAATCAGAACGGATAATAGTACAGCTCTAGCGTACATTAACAAAATGGGAAGTGTTCAACATCCGAAGTTAAACTTACTATCCAGAAAGATATGGCAATGGTGCGAGAGATATGAGTTGTGGTTATTCGCCTCTTATATTAGCTCTAAAGATAATTGGAGGGCTGATCAAGCTTCCAGGATTTTAAAATCAGAAACAGAATGGTCTTTAAATGAGAAAATATTCCAAAATATTAAAATTAATTTTGGGGAACCAGATATGGACCTTTTTGCATCTAGACACAATAACAAATGCAAAAGGTACATATCATGGCAAAGAGACCCTGGATCAGAGGCAATAGACGCGTTCACGTTAGATTGGTCTAAATATTTTTTCTACGCATTCCCTCCCTTCTCCCTTGTTCTAAGAACAATTGAGAAAATAATTAACGATAAAGCCAAAGGTATCGTAGTTTTTCCATTGTGGAAAACACAAGCTTGGTATCCTATTCTTAAGACACTTATAATAGGAACTCAACTTGAATTTGGGCCTAAAGATAATATTCTTTTTTGTCCTTTTAGCAAGAAAACACACCCTTTGTCACAACAGCTTACCCTGGTGGCCGCAGTATTATCAGGGAGTCCTACAAAAGAAGAGGAATACCCAGTGAAGCTATCGACACAATGATCAGCTCACTTAGTGATTCCACAATCATTCAGTATGAGGTGACCTATAAATTATGGTGGAATTTCTGCAGAGATCGAAACATCTGCCCTTTTAACGTGGAATCGGAACCAGTTATTTCTTTTCTACAAAACATACTGGATTCTACTAATAACTTATTCGGGTCAGTTAACTCTCATAGATCAGCCCTCTCCTTAATTAGTATGAGTAATTTATGAGATGATTTATCTCTTAAACGGTTTTTAAAGGGGGTGTTTAAACTGAGACCTCCCAAACCTAAATATAATTACACTTGGAATCCTGAAAAGGTCATAAGGTATTTTGATAAATCCGATGACAGCAGTTTAACTTTCCTCTCACATAAACTGGTTACCCTTCTGACATTGGTGACGGGTCATCGATTACAAACGATTGCATTAATACGATGCTCTAATATCAACATAACTGATGAACGTATTAACATATTCATCCCAGATTTAATTAAGACATCTAAACCGAACAGTTATCAACCAAACTTAAGATTACCGTTTTTCAAAGAAAACAAAAATATCTGTGTCGCGTCGTGTTTATTAAGTTACCTGAACCACACGGAAAGTCACAGAAGAATAACTAACGATGATCATTTATTTCTAACTTGTTCTAAACCGTTCAAACCAGCAACGAAACAGACGTTAAGCCGATGGGTCAAGACCACACTTTATAAAGCCGGTGTGGACACAAAAATCTTTCAGGCCCATTCTACAAGACACGCCGCAACATCAGCAGCACTTAGAGGTGGTGTGTCTCTGGATGTTATAAGGCGTACCGCGGGATGGACTCAGTCATCTCAAACTTTCGCAAAATTTTACAACCGGCCCTTGATGGAAAACAATAACTTTGCAGAATGCATTTTAAGTCAAGGAACAATCAGTATTAACTCTCAGTTATAGACTTTAATACCTTAAGATTCAGGTCAAATTTCACTTACCTGCAAAATAGTTTTTATAAGTTTAGTAAATACTTACCACAGGGAAAAAATCTGTTACTTAAGTATGCGTATATAGGTTTCTTGTAGAATACTTTTTTGGTTGTTCAAAAACTAGTTTTCTTTTCTTACTTTTGGTGCTTTAGTATGCCTTTCTTGCTGTTATAAATGTTATTATGTATAAACAATATAGAGCGAGTGTTTTACGTCCACATTCTTTAAACATCTACAGTGTTCTTAATTATGTAATATTGAGGACTGGACTTGAAATATAATTTATCGATCAAAAGAACTTACCTGAAGTTCGATCGTAATTATATGAAAGTCCAGTCCGAAAATATTACAACCCACCCCTCCTCTCCCGTATGAACGTAAAACAAATTGTCTTTAAAATAATGAGGATAAATCGCGCCGGTAGGTGTGGGTACATGAATAACGGGAATATACGGACAGGACCGGACGCAGAATTTTTGGTGTATTCTTTAAAACTTGTGCTGAAAGCTGGAGACAGCATGTACTACAGTGTTCTTAATTATGTAATATTTTCGGACTGGACTTTCATATAATTACGATCGAACTTCAGGTAAGTTCTTTTGATCGATAAATTATTTCTTTATCTTTAATTTATAAATAAAAATATAATTGTTGCATGTACTACCACTGGAAATTTGTTTTGTAATAAAAATGGGTTTAAAAAGTTAATAAAATGCTAATCTATTATACGATCAAACGAACTTACCTTAGTGAAGTTCGATCGTAATTTTATGAATCTTCAGTCCGAGATATCACTTACTAGGTAGTACGCCCCTGGCGCTGCTACGTACCGCAATTTTAAAGCTAAAAATAACTAAAAGAAGAAAAACCTCTCCCCGTATTCCCACCGTTGGCCCGTGACGGAACATATTCATTTCTTTAAAGTAAGCCCTTGCAACTTCGAAGGGGAACCGAACAGGTTCACATGGGTGGGTGGGAAGTGATATCTCGGACTGAAGATTCATAAAATTACGATCGAACTTCACTAAGGTAAGTTCGTTTGATTGTATAATTTTATTTCACTTCAGTCCTTTTATATCACTTACTAGGTAGATGTTTAAAGCATTCATTGAAGTTGCATTTAATAACAAAATAATACATTTTACAGGTTATTAGAATTTAACACTGCTCTTGCAAACTCCGTTTCATTTATAATCGGTCGGTTATAGAATCGTGAGAAACAGGAAGATTCTTCTCCCCAACCAGCCGATTGAAAAATGCCGTCCACCGAGACTCCTTGCCTAAAGGCGACCGAAGTAGCCGCGTGGCGTGTAGAATGAGGCTTAAATAGGTCCGTTGGAATTCCCGAATCTTGTAGGACCATTTTCACCCACCTACTCAAAGTTTGCTTTGAAGCTATCCCATGTGGTCTTCTAATAGATAAGAATAAGAAGGATTTGTTTTTTCTAAGGGGGGCAGTACGCTGAAGAAAAATTTTCAACGTACTACCTACACATAACGCTGGTAAATCCTTAAAGTAGAAGGCTTGAAGGTAGGGTTGAGGTTTCCCTACCCTTGTAGTTTTCACTTTATCAGAAATAAAAATTTGGAATCCTGATGGGGATTCCCGAATGTTCTCAATTCTGATTAGAGCAATTGCATTTAACCTTTGTCCAGTAGTTAATAAAAGTAACATTAATAATTTTAAGGATAATTGTTTCAAAGTGAGATTCTCGTTTGGGAACCAATTCGAGAGAAAATTCAAAACTGGATGTGGGTTCCATGTGTTGGTGTACTTTGGCTTCGGTGGTCTAGTATTTGCTATGCCTCTAAGGTAACGCTTCAGTAGAATATCCTCTCCAACATTTCCTGGTAGAATAAGAGAAAGTGCAGATCTGTGGCTATTAAATGATCCGTAACCGCAGGATTTTCTTGTTAAAATAGTGTGTAGGAATTTAATTACTTCTTTCGGTCCCGAAGAGAACAAGGAACTTCCTGTGAGTTGACAAAACTTTCACCACATCTTGTAAGTAGTGTTATATTGCGCTTCCGTTGATCGGGATATCGAATGAATCATTACCTCCAAAGCGCAATCCGGTACTCCTCGTCTCTTTAACGCTTCCCTGATAAACGCACTGCTACCAGGGTAAGGTTCCTCGGAAGAGGTCGGGTTTCCCTAAAAGGAGAAGTCAGTGAATTCATACTTGGACCTAAAGTCATAGGATGGCCATCACATAATTCTAATAGTAATGGGTACCAAGATTGGGACGGCCACTTTGGAACAACTATAATTCCCACAGCTTTGTCGGAGACAATTTTTTGTAAAACTTTAAGAATAAGTGAAAAAGGCGGGAAGGCATAGAAAAAAAAGTTGCTCCAGCAAAGAGTAAATGCATCCACTGCTATCGAATTCGGGTCCGGGAGCCAAGAGACATAATTACAACACTTATGATTCAATTTTGATGCAAAAAGGTCTATCTCTGGTGCTCCAAAATTCGACACAATTTGCGTAAAAGCGGATTGAGCTAGCGACCATTCTGTCTCTGTAGACCGACAGCGAGATTCTTTGTCCGCTCTCCAATTATCTTTAGAATTTATATACGAAGCAAAAATAAAAATTTCGTTCTTCTCGCACCATGACCAGATTTGTCGAGTAATCCCGTTCAAAAGAGGGTATTGAATACCACCCATCCTGTTGACATACGACAGAGCAGTGGTATTGTCAGTACGAATTAGGATTTTACATTTTGAACTATTCTTAGCAAAAGATTTCAGACCATAAAAAATGGCTTTCAGTTCTAAAAAATTTATGTGTTGCTTTCTCTCAACAGTACTCCAAAACCCATGAGTCTTTACGTTATCGCACCAAGCTCCCCAGCCAGAAAGCGAAGCATCCGTAAAGATCTCCTTCAAAAAAGGATCGCAACTGATACTGTGTTGTGATGACATAATATGTTGATCCCACCACCATAAATCAGGTAGGATGCCAGCATTTAGAGACATGGAGGAATCGTAATTCGAATTACTAGACTTCAAGGCCAAAAATTTTTGCCGTTCCAAAAGCTTCGTATAAACCCAGCCGTACTGTACTGCTGGGCAGGCAGACACTAGAACTCCAATAAAAGCAGCCAATTTTCTAATTGAAAAAGTTTTAGTGTGAAGAAAAAATTGTATAGAATCAGTAATTCTAATTTTCTTTTCTAAGGGCAATTCCAAAGTTAGATTTACAGAATCAAAGATAAATCCCAGGAATTGTTTTCTTTGAGACGGGGTGAGAGAACTTTTGTTGTAGTTAACAACAAAGCCTAAGGATTCCAGTAGCTGTAGTGCGAATCTGGTATTATTTAAACAAACTGAATGAGATCTCCCTAAAATTAAAAAGTCATCTAAGTAGTTAACACAGGGAATTCCCTTTTTTCGTAGACAAGAAGTAATAGGTTTCAATAATTTAGTAAATGTGAAGGGAGCTGAAGATAAACCAAAGGGGATGCACGTGAACTCATATAAGTTTCCATTGAAGTTAAATCTTAGATACTTTCTATCTTCAATGTGTATTGGAATCAAAAAATATGCATCTTTAAGATCTAAAGTTGTCATAAAGTAACCCTTATTCAGAAGTTTTGAAGCAGTTCTAAAGTCTTCCATTTTAAAGTGAAAATGTCTAACCGACAAATTAAGTTGCTTTAGGTTTAAGATGAATCGTTTTTTCCCATTTGGTTTATCTGCTAGAAAAAAACCCGATAAGTATTGATCTTTGTGTGGAGTACAAGCACAACTAGCTCCCAACTTTAACAAATCGTTGACCGATTGTAACAGGTGAGCGTGCTGCTCCGAAGAGAACGAACGGACCCAAGGTGGCAGTTCCTGTCTTGGCGGGTAAACAAATGGGATACGATAACCTGATATCCAAGACAAAACTATCGGATTCGAAGTAATTCGAGTTTGTAGAAAACATAATTAATCTACCAGCAAAACGTACCTGGTTTTCATTAGAGTTAATTAATTCCGAAAATTTTTGTAAGGGCGCCCTTGGACTGACCTCGATTCCCTTCTGTATCGGGCCGGGCGATGTCTGTTTCCCATCTCCGTCGAGGGAGTGAATTTTGTAAACTGACCCCTCTGTCGTCCCTCACGTCCCTTGGGTACAAGACTTTTAAACCTTGGTTTGTTCGAAGAATGAGGTAGCAGATCTTTGCTCGTTCTTTCGAGCACCTCTGCTGTTTTAACCAACTCTCCGAAATTTGACCCAAATAAGGATCTATCGGCAGTGGTTCCTTCTGCTAAATCTCGCATAGATTTGTTGAGG